GGTGTTTGGTTTTATGACAATATTTGAAGCAACACAAAATTAATTTTCAAACATCCATGATTTATTTAATTTGTCCAATTATTTTAGAAATACATCAAACTCATCAAATGGTGTCTGACTAATTTCAAATTCTTTAGAAAAGTTTCCTTAATACAGTACACATCTTGTAGCAAAGTAAATATATTCATTATCTACTGGACTTGTTTAAATTACAACTAATCTAGGTCGTTTGGAACTTCTTGGGCATTTCCATAAACACCTTCTGACCCCGATATTTCCGTCATAATTACAACTAATCTATGTTGTTTGGAACTTCTTGGGCATGTCCATAAACACCCTCCTGTCCCCGATACTTCCATCATAATTACAACTAATCTATGTTGTTTGGAACTTCTTGGGCACGTCCATAAACACCCTCCTGTCCCCGATATTTCCATCATAATTACAACTAATCTATGTCATTTGGAACTTCTTGGGCACGTCCATAAACACCCTCCTGTCCCTGATACTTCCATCATAATTTATGAACATTTTACAAAAGCACTTCAGATGTTTTAAGGCCAAACAATTATGATATTTTTTTAAGAGAAATGCATACAAACATGAAGAAATTGTTGTTACACACTAATCACAACAATTACTATTATTCTGTTACGAGAATTGATGCAAACATAAAGAAATCGTTGTAACATACTAATAACAACAATTACTATTATTCTGTTACGAGAATTGATGCAAACATAAAGAAATCGTTGTAACACACTAATAACAATTACTATTTTTCTGTTACGAGAACTGATGCAAACATGAAGCAATAGGCTTTAAATTACTGACAATATTGGAGTAGGCTTATAAATAACACATGCGACACTAATACATTGAAAACTGTTACTATGATAAATGATAAGTGGAAAACAGTAAGGCACATTTTTGGCTATATTCATATGATGACTTTCTAATCTCCGATTAATTAATAACACATTTGTAAAACAAATATTACCAAACTATAAACAAAGATTTACTAGCAAGCACCAGAAAGACCAATGAAATACAAAATACATAACAGTACAAGTCTTTTTGACATAATATGTAAAATAAGAGAGAAAATACTTATCTCACAATCGTGCACAACAAAGGAAACCACACGCAAACGAAGGGTACATAACACAGTAACTTGTTTTACAGAGTACGTAACACACGGAGTAAGCTTAACAATATGCACATAGGAAAATCACAGGTTACATACTGTATTTATTTAGACATTCCATGCAACACAAGGATTCACACGTAACACAAGCCAAACATATGAAATACGAAACAATACGGTCATTCTGTAACTCAGACACATGAAATACTAAACAATACGGTCATTCTGTAACTCAGACACATGAAATACTAAACAATACGGTCATTCTGTAACTCAAACACATGAAATACTAAACAATACGGTCATTCTGTAACTCAAACACATGAAATACTAAACAATACGGTCATTCTGTAACACAGAAGTAATAAACAGTAGAGATGAGCAAGTGGTATTAACCAACAATTCCATTAGCTGATTACATTAAATTAATACAATGTTCACTCGGGCAAAAAAAAATAAAAAATGCTAGTATAGCCAGGCGCCTTCCCTCTAGATAGCAGTTCAAAATTAGGGACAGATAGCCTTAGCAGCTTTAGCATAACAATGAAAGGGCATGCTAGTTTGATGACAATGGGAATTGAACTGGAGACCCTTGAATCATGAGCCCCCACCCCCAAAGATGAACAAACTTCAAGTTAAAAAAAAAAAAAAAGGCTTACACGGCTAAAAACTAGGCAGAACACAGTTGGCCTATTATGCTTCGGCTTAACAATAAACAAACATAACAATATTTTGTTTACTTGGAATAATCAAAAACTGTAATAAGTGGAAACACTAATTTTTGTTCAGTTGGTTATTTATGTGACTATTACTAATCAGGATTTCACTTTATCAATTGATGGAATAATTGAAAACATTTATAGGCAGAACCATTCATTTCAATTGGTTGATCACTTTCGTGACACCAGATGTAAAGCAGAATTTTGAGTAATCAATTGTTGTAATAAACAATGATTAATTAATTTAATCATCATTTAGATTCATTGATTAGTTTATGTGTCACTAATAGATGTAATTATTGCTCACTGGTAATTAATTAAAAACCCCAGTTCTACAGAACAGTGCATCTAAGCATTCTTTATAAACATGGAAAATGTATACAAATAACTAAAGAGTGCTGTCAACAGGTTGTGTAAAACACAGACATGGCATACAAGTATTCACACAATACGTAATTGTGTAAAACACAGACATGGCATACAAGTATTCCCACACTATGTAATTGTGTAAAACACAGACATGGCATACAAGTATTCCCACACTATGTAATTGTGTAAAACACAGACATGGCATACAAGTATTCACACACTATGTAATTGTGTAAAACACAGACATGGCATACAGTTATTCACACACTACGTAACTGTGTAAAACACAGACATGGCATACAGTTATTCACACACTACGTAATTGTGTAAAACACAGACATGGCATACAGTTATTCACACACTACGTAACTGTGTATAACACAGACATGGTATATAGGTATTCACACAATACGTAATTGTGTAAAACACAGACATGGCATACAGGTACTCACACACTAAACAGGTGATTTTGTTTAGCACAGAAAGTCATACAAGATAAACATTACACAACACATTTTCATACACACACCAGAGGATACGACACACGATTTAATACACACACACCAGGGGATACGACACACGATTTAATACACACACACCAGGGGATACGACACACGATTTAATACACACACACCAGGGGATACGACACACGATTTAATACACACACCAGGGGATACGACACATGATTTAATACACACACCAGAGGATACGACACATGATTTAATACACACACCAGAGGATAAGACACATGATTTAATACACACACCAGAGGATAAGACACAATTTAATACATACACATATATCAGATGATACAACAAAATTAATTCATGGAATTTACAAGACAATGGTGAGAATTAGAATTACAAGTTCTTTATCATATGAAATTTACATAAGAACAGTTACTAAATAAACCCTATATACCATAAATAACAGTTACTAAATAAACCATAAATATAACTTGGGAGAGTAACAGTAAAATATTCTGTAGAACTTTCAAAACATTTTGTAGCAAACAATACAGCTAAATATAATGTAAAACTGCACGATGTAACATGGAAGGACAAAAACTCATTCCATGCAACATTATGGAAGGACTTTGTGTAACACAATCAGTTGACATGAAATTAACAATACAGTTATGTATCATGTAAAACTGCAGGATTTAACATACACAGTCCAAAGAAACAACAGTAACATATTAAATGCAACATGATTATTTCTTTATGACTTTTTTTTACTGTTAAACAAGATGTAAAAACTGAATAGACCTTGAACAGCTGACACAAACCAACAGTTATACACTTTGTCTAATATCAGTTATGGAACATACATTTCAAGGGGGAAAATAAAACTGTTCATAAAGCTATAAAACAGAAGTCACAAAATAGTTAAAATAAATCTATACAACAGAAGTCACAAAATAGTTAAAATAAATCTATACAACAGAAGTCACAAAATAGTTAAAACAAATCTATACAACAGAAGTCACAAAATAGTTAAACAAATCTATACAGCAGAAGCCACAAAGCAGTTAAAATAAATCTATACAGCAGAAGTCACAAAACAGTTAAAATAAATCTATACAACTGAAGTCACCCCCCCCCCCCCAAAAAAAAAGCTTCAAGCTGCAAGAGATCATTTCAAACCATACACTATACTGTCTCAACTTAAATTATCTTTCTCAGCCTTGTGCCCATGGATTTGATATTGATATAGTCAATAATGTTAATTTTCTTGAAACAAAAAATATATACAAAATTGTGAAAAATTACTCTCGACTGTTTACCTCAAATACAATAAAATTATGGAAATCATTTAAATTTTAAAACAGGAATGTCAATAATATTTAACAATTCATTTCACAATTTTAATATTAAATTATAACTACAGTAACTCATTGTTTCTAGAAACAACACTGAACGATAACTACCAACAGGTAAAGTCAAACTTTTCAAACTAAATATAAACCCAAACTAGGCATTGGTTTGTTTTTAAGCACTATTAATAAGATATGACAAAAAATCTCAATAATCTGGGTTAGCCCTGCTGTTTAGTGTAATTTAATTATATAAAACCTTCTATAAAGTTTGTTAATAAATACATCTGGAAACAAATACACTAACAAGTTCATTTTTTTTAGATAATTATTTTATCTACTGAGTACAAGCTTGTTAAAGAATCGTGATTTTTCTTAAAATCAATCATTTCTTTACCAATTTTTACACTTCTTTGATTCCTTGTGAAAAAACTGCTTCACACAGAACCCTCAGAACTATTTTTTTTTACTTTATTAAAGTTTATTATTTCAAGTAATGATTGTAAGATGATTATACCCTATTACTAATTACTCCAACTAATTTTCTAAAACAGTTTGTTTATGATGTTACAGTTGAATCCCTTGTTAATTTTATGATATCATATTTATTCACCTTT